TTATATGGTAGTACGGCCAACGAGGCAGTGGTATAAAACTTCAGTTATATATGGTATAAAACTGTGGAACCGCGCAGGATATCTGATACACTGAATAAATAGTATCTTATACGCGCGCTGTAATATTGTTCCGCAGGGCACCCGCGAGTGCATAAACCGTCACACCGCAGAGTTCGGTGACAACTTGCTGAAGCAGAATGACGTGGCTCTCATCACAGACGGCAAGACCCTCAAGTACGCGATGGGATGTGACCTGAAGAAGGACTTCCTCGACCTGTGCGTATCCTGCAAGGTGGTTATCTGCTGCCGAGTGTCGCCCATTCAGAAAGCTGAGGTGAGGCTTACGTGCTGTACTATATAATTTAGTGAATAATATATTTACTGACTGAATGGCTAGCTGACTGACTGACTGACTGACTGGCTGGCTGGTTGGCTGAATGACTAACTGACTAACCGACGTAAGCACTCTTTTTAGCAATAACCACGCAAAAGAGAGAATATTGATGATGAATGTGGTGATCATTAGGTGGTAGAGCTGGTGTCATCGTCGACGGGCGCCGTGACGCTGGCCATTGGCGACGGCGCCAACGACGTGGCCATGATACAGCGCGCCTCCGTCGGCGTCGGCATCTCCGGCGTCGAGGGGCTGCAGGCCGTCTGTGCCTCGGACTACAGTATCGCCCAGGTGACTACCATGCTTTACTTATGTTAACTAAAAATAATGCGTTACTCACGTAAATATACTGGAGCGCCGTCTATAGACATACATGGCAATAAGCGCCTCTCGTCGCAGTACATTTTCAAGTGTATGTATATGGTATAGTGGTGCATGTGCTATAGTTGGACTTTGTCACCAGTTCCGCTTCCTTCTCCGTCTACTTCTGGTGCATGGTGCGTGGAACTACTCCCGCATCAGTAAACTGATCCTGTACTCCTTCTACAAGAACATCTGCCTCTACGTTATCGAGCTCTGGTTCGCCATATACTCCGCTTGGTGAGATACTTTGTGTTGGTTTTTACACAAAACAATAGGTTATCATATTGTTTTGTGTAAAAACCATCTCTATTTCTATTACCTAAGGTCTATAGTGTGACAATGAAACTAAAAACATACAAACCCGAAGTGCTTCAGGAAAATAAACATATGTTTTGGAATGCACACCGAAATTAACAGAAAATATTTTTGAAATAAAATATTTTTCCATTTTCTTCTCGTCTTTTTATAGAAGGAACGACTTAACCTTTTTACTATGATTAATGACATGCTATGTTGATTTTGTATGTATTCAGGTCTGGACAAATTATATTCGAACGCTGGACGATAGGTTTCTACAATGTGATCTTCACCGCTTTGCCGCCCTTCGCCATTGGACTCTTCGACAAGCTCTGTTCCCCTGAAATCATGCTGAGGGTACGTGTGCGTTTTATTTGGCACAATTATAATTGTTTATTATTTTTTTATGGAATAAGTCGGTAAACGGAAGCATGGCTCTGCCACACTTATTATAATTATTATATAGAAGCAGCTTTTTTTATAGTTGTTAGGTCGACGTTTGAAATGGCCACCATCTCGCCTATTGGTAAGTGATAATGTGGCCGACGATGAAGCACGTCTATCTATGGGCTTTAATGTAAATGTAACATTTAATGAAATTGTGAGTGATACGAGTTGCGCAGACCACTTGAGTGTCGGCGCAAGTGTCGCGGACCCAGTAGTACGAGTTCCCCGCAGCACCCGGTGCTGTACGTGCCGTCGCAGCAGGGCCTGTTGTTCAACGTGCGCGTGTTCTGGGTGTGGGCCGTCAACTCCATCCTGCACTCCGTGCTGCTGTTCTGGCTGCCCATGCTCATGCTCAGCCACGCCGTCGTCTGGCCCGCCGCCCGGGACGGCGGGTACCTGCTCATGGGGAACATCATCTACACTGTAAGATACTCTCGACATCTCTATTTTCACTCAGTTGTCTTATCTTCTTACAAAGGAAACTGGATAGTCAATTAAATTATATGTTTCACCAATGTGGACATTGTAACGGTAGAAACATACTACCGTCGGATGTGAGATTCGCAGCGCGAATCTATAGTCTGACTAAGTACACCCGATTTACACATGAATCTCGACCTCACGCGAAGCTCTTAAAGTAGCGTAAAAAGTTTCACGAAGTTGCGGTTCCTGGACAAGCCCTGAGGCGAAGTTCATTGAAAAATGCTACATTTAATTAATTAAATAATATTATTATCACAGTACGTGGTGCTGACGGTATGCCTGAAGGCAGGACTGACCACACACTCGTGGACGTGGGTCACTCACGTCGCCATCTGGGGCTCCGTCGTCATGTGGTTCATATTCGTACTCATCTACAGGTCAGTACTATACACCCTATGCATACTGCAATGAGGATCACGTTTCAATGGAATGAGATTCGTGTCGAAATCAAGCAGGTGCAGTATAAATATTGACGTGTATTGATTGACAGCAACGTGTTCCCGACGGTGATGATCGGCGCAGTGATGCAGGGCATGGACCGCATGCTGTTCACCTCGCTGGTGTTCTGGCTCGGCCTCATACTCATCCCCGTCGCCACGCTCATCCCCGACATGCTCGTCACTGTGTGAGTACACCACTAGTAATAATGTCCTGTCGATCCTATACATGCCCATACCAACACTCATTTAATCGAGTTCTTTACACTACGTGGATAAGTTTCAGTCGACGTAGCCGTCGTGGGGTGCTAGATAGTTTCGCTTATAGGTCTGTTTTTGAATGATATATTGGAAGAAAGTATAGCCGCGTAGAGTATGGAAGCGAGCACGCAGGGCAGTGGGTGTATGTAACCCGGGTGATGTGCGGTGTATGTGCAGCGTGCGGCGGACCTCGGGCATATCTGCGTTCGCGCCCACTAAGCTGATGGCCATGGGCGCCATCCCCCGCCGGCCCACCATAGCCCTGCTGCGGTCGCTACGCAGCATGTCCCCGGCGGCGACGCGCGCCCCGCCCGTTCCTCCCGCTCCGAAGCCCGCTCCAACTGCCCCACCAGCCCCACCAGC